GGATGCCCTCCCCTAGGGGTGCCCCACACAGAAAACTGTGTGGAGGTTAGAGAAGGCAGAAAGAGGCCTGGCTAGGTTCACACCATCATCACCGCTCCTCCTCTGACTTCCTTCCTGCTTTGTACTGGGGATCCCGGGTTTGTAAACAAGCCCTCCCGGGAATGGGGGTCCTTAGGAGCCGGGCCAGCCACTGCCTACTCTGAGTCACAAGCGGACCTTGTAGTATGCTGGGATTCCTTCCTGGCTAATGACTGCTCAGGGGCCAGGCTTCCCACTCACTCATCTCTTCCACCAAGGCCGATACGGATGAAGGAGAGGAGTCAGAGCCCGCCTTCTCCACTAACAGTGACGACAACAAGTAACAATAGCGGCAGCTGACACTGAAGGCCCCCACATCTGGCTTCATGGCCCCAATGCAGTTTACATGTGTGGAAACAAGTTTATACAGGCACTGATGACTTGCCCCAGGTCACAGGAGGCACGCTGGGGCTGAGGGAGTGGAGAGGGTCTTCCCTTGACCAAACCAGTCAGGCTCCTCTTGAGTTGTTTCCTAACTAGACCTCATTCCTGGGAATTTCCCCAAGAGCCCAGTTTTAGCATGAACCTGCCTCCATATCCTTGATAGTTGATTACCCTCAACATCTGACCAGATTCGTCTTCTCCCCACCCCCAGGGACATCTGACCACCCTGTCCTGCGCATTAGGTTGATTTAGCCAGAATCCTCCTTTGCCCCTGATGTTTCCTCTTAGTAAGCTTCCAACCAATGATACCCGTCCCCCCCCCCACACACACACACCGTCTGCTCCTTGGCTATATTGGGGGATACCACCTCACACCAGTCAGAGTGGCTAAAATGAGCAAATCAGAGAACTCTAGATGATGGCGAGGATGTGGAGAAACGGGCACCCTCCTACACTGTTGGTGGGAATGTAAACTGGTACAGCCCCTCTGGAAAACAGTGTGGAGGTTCCTCAGGAAACTAACAATGGAACTCCCCTATGACCCAGCAATAGCACTGCTAGGAATTTACCCAAGGGATACAGAAATGCTGATGCATAGGAGCACATGTACCCCAATGTTCATAGCAGCACTCTCCACAATAGCCAGAACATGGAAAGAGCCTAAGTGTCCATCAATGGACGAATGGATCAAGAAGATGTGGTTTATCTATACGATGGAATACTACATGGCAATGAGAAAGAATGAAATCTGGCCATGTGTAGCAACATGGATGGACCTTGAGGGTGTTATGCTGAGCGAAATAAGTCAGGCAGAGGAGGACAAATACCATATGTCTGCACATATAGGAGGATTAGGAGGAACTTAACCTAGGAACAAGGGGGAGAAGAAGGGGGGGAATGGTGGGGGAAAGGGAGAGAGGCAAACCATGAGAGACTCTTGAATGCTGACAAAAACTGAGGACTGATGGATGTGGGGGGGGGATGGGCATGGAGGAGGGCACTTGTGGGTATGAGCACTGGGTGTTATGTGGAAACTAATTTGACAATAAACTATTTGTAAAAAAAAAAAAAAAAGAATTGGGGGTCCATCTCTCTTCCCGCACGGGTTCCTATACCTGTATCTCGCTGAATATAGTTAACTTTGATGTTCTAACGAGGTTGTGAGTAATTTTTTTCTTTTTAAATAGAGCCCATGACTTCCACTCCTGTCCCATCTTGTCCTACTAAAGGAATAGCAAAGGAGAACATCTGCAGAGGAGTGCCTCTCAAAGCACCTACGTGGGGAAATGCAGACTAGGGCCAGACGGCAGAAAGGGGCAGAGAATTGCCAGAGCTCAGAGAGATGCCCCAAGCCGGCCCCCATAATACCATTTGCTGTCTTCTTCCCTGGGACAGGACAGGTGCTCATCTGGTACCCCAGTATGTCCGAGAGTGTCTGAGAGCACAGGTTATGTGCATAAAGGAATATTTTGTTTCTACTCAGCGGTAATGTGTTGAAGGGTTTCCAGAGAGGCTCAGGACAAGAAGAGGAAAAGTATCTATTCTTTTTTCTCTTCCACTGAGAACCCCCAGTTACCCACTGATGCTCAAGGCCCTGGTTCAAATCTCACTGCTTCCTGGACTATTGGAAGGAGTTCCCCATTGGAGGATTTGGATGATTTGAGTCAAAGGCTGGTGGAATCTGATCTTCCTTTAGCCTTGTGTGATGGGCTGAAAAAGGGGCAGGACACCCAGCCTGTCTGCATCCTCAGTTCACCATGGGCTCTGTAAGATGGGGTTCAGGGCTGGGTGTGCAGGAGGGATTCCAGGCTGCGGGCAGACCCAAGCATGGAGAGGGAGAAGGGAGGGGGAGCAAGAGGAACACATTAGTTGTCGAGAAGCAGAGTAGAGCCCAAAATCTCAAAGGGCCCAAGCTGTGACTGTTGCCCAGTAAGTGTCAAAACATGTCAGTTTTCAGAGATGTCCAGCACCAGTATGCTCATAGAATAGCAAAATCTGGAAAACACCTAATGTTCATTAAGAGCAGAATGGCCCAATGATGTGGTTGACTCAATCCACAGGACTCTCTATAAAGCCAAGAAGGTGAAGGCAATCTACATGGAAACATTGGGATTGGATCGATCTCAAGGACACTGTGGGGGGTGGGGGGAGGTGTCAACACATGTGGGCTGCAGAGTGGTGAGTGTCTGCACTGGGCAGGTGAGCCATTCCCAGGCATCACCCCAACTTTGCAGTGGGTGTACACATTGGTCAAGGTGGGATGCAAGTCGAGCTCATGGGGGATGACCCTGCTTGGGGAAGGCATCTGGCTTGTCAAAGATCCTTGGATAGGACCCCAAAAGTGGAACAACTGAAGAGCACTGGCTTGCACTTCTGCTTCTCCCACCCAGAAGCCTTTTGCTACCAAGACCCTACAACTGGCTCAATGGTGTGCCAGGCTAATGGGGAGCAAGGAGGAACCATTCCCTTCTCCCTTAGCATCTAAGCCACAGGAAGGACTCAGGTCCAGGACATCCAGTGAGTGCCCCTGGACTAGGAGCTCACCTTCATAGACCCTACCCATTGAAAGAGGATTTCAGCTATCTCCATTTCTATCTCAGTCCGTACTTCCTCACTGATTAAGTTCTTTCCAGCTTTTCTCTTAACTAAGGCAAAAGAACTAGCAGGAAAGTATCCCCTGAAAACTGAAGCTACCCTTCAAGTAATAAGGACTGTCCTGACGTCAGCAAGAAACCACATAACTGACCCCAAGACAATGCTTCACCTGACCTTCACTGCACACACTCACCGACCTTTGCCTCACACTGATATGAACCTGGAAGCATTTTTGGCACTTTGGAGACAGTCTTTGAGATGCTAGTCCCGTCTTCCCAGTGTTGGCCTCTCTGAAATAAATTCCTTTTCTATTTCACCACCACTCCTCTCTTTGCCTATGGATTTTATCAACAGCGAGTGGCAAACCTGGTCTGTTTGGGACCCCCTGTGCCCAGTTACATCTTCTGAGAAAGGGGCCAAGAATCCTGCTTTCCCTATGCCGGGCAAGGCTGCCCCACTGATCCTCAACATGCACCCCACACTTCAGTGGACTCGCTGGAGTGTTGCCCAAGGCTGGTCTTGCCCCCACCTGAAGTCCAGCCCCAGGTCCTGTCTGTGGGGTCAGTTGAGGCCTTGGGCCTGCTCTCCCAGGAAGGTATGGGATGTGGTGTGGGGGATTTCATCAGATTTCTTTCCCTGTGTCTTTGTGTGTGGGGGGTGTCCTGCCCACTGGCTGGGTGGTATCTGCTGGCAGGTATGTAGGGGTGGGGGGCAGATATAAGGCGGCCAAAGGTGCATTTTTACTTTTAGACTTGGTTTCAAGGTACGGGGTGGGAAGGACTCCCTGGAGGCCCTGAGCCACTGAGTTCCCTAAATAAGCTTCCAGGGGGGGAAACAGGTAGTATGAAAACCTGCCTGAGAACCTGGTGAAACAGAGAGAGGATCCAGAGCTACTGCTCAAGGAGGATCTGCCGGTGCCGGTCTGAACAAATGCATGTGGGCCCTCCCCACAAAAAATTACTCAGAGGTGACTCACCCTCTCTTCTCCTTCATTCCTGCTGCTTAGTATTTCAGCAGAAAAGGATTTTACTTCCTGCCCTCAGGGAAGGGAGGTGGGGCTTTGTGGAGAACCCCTTTCTCCCACAGACACCCGGAATGCCTGGCCAGCCCACTCCTGCTGGAGGCTTCCCCGGAGGGTCTGAGAGAAGCAGAGCAGTCAGTGCCCACCCCCCAGGGCAGGGCAGGGAAGGAGCTAGTAAGATGCCCTATAAGGAACTGCATATCAGGGTTTTCCCCTAATGGGGCATAGAACTGCACAGGTGAGGCCGTGAAAAACACAAGGCAGGCAGTGTAGCTCCTGTCTGCCAAGAAGCACAAGGGCTAGTGGTTGGCTTCCAGTGGCTGGGCGAGCTTCCCAAGGACTAGTGGATGGTTTTCTGGCCTGGATGGTTTTCACTGATGACTTGGGATCCCCTTGCTTGTCCTGTATGGACACTTACTCTTACTGCTATGCCAACTCTGGTGGAGAGACCTATGTCTGCCCTGCTTAGAGACGTAGCTGCCCCCTGTGGAAGCCAGGTCTAGAAGCCACAGAGGACATCAGGCGGGTAGACTCCGGGATTCTTGTGCTTTTTCCAATTTGAGATGGCCTCCAAACTGCTAACTGCAGCCCACAGCACTGCCTCACTGTTTTGCCTTTGGGCTTTGCTAACTAAGGCCATGGAAGAACAGAGCCCCCTGCTGCAAAAACAAGTAAAATTGAACTTCCTGTGGGGGCAAGATGGGGCATAACAGGTACTCAAACAGAGAGAGGGGCAGGAATTCCCCCAAGCCCCAAGCCCTGGAGCCAGGCCACCTCAGTGTCCCAGAAGGTCAAATGAGGAAAGAAACTGAAGCATCTGGAGCACAGTGTGGGTGGGTCCAGGGGCAGGTGTACGAGGCTGTGTCGGAGGTGGGGAATGGCAGAGGGACTCTGCAGGGGGCAGAGAGGGCAGCAGCCTCACCTGGATCTGGCCCTTCCCCATGATCCTGTCTGTGCTCTCGCCATCCTCCTTGGTGATCTTTGTTTTGTTGTAACACTTTTCATAGCAGAGAATCCTCAAGGTCTGGGAGCCTTCCAGCTCAATCTCAAACTCCTGTAGCCCCAAGAAAGGAAAGTCCCTTGTTACCAGACAGGTCCAATGGTTTCTTTGCTTCCCTGGAAGGACCCAAGCCTCGAGAACCTGCTTACTTTAGTCCTGCAATGAAGACCCTCAGAAGCTACTTCTCTGTGAGCGTCCCACTGTGGCTCAGTCTGGATGCTTTTGGAAGCTCTGAATGTCTCTCACATTGAATCCAAGCTCCCTAAGCCAGTAGGTCAAAGGACAGTCCCCGTACCACCTACATCAGAAGCTCAGGGGTGCTGGTTATAAATGCAGATATTCTATGGACTTTGAGTGACAATGATGTCAGTGTACGTCCACTGATTAGAGAGGGAGGCTGTGCGTGTTTGGGGACAGTGGGCATATGGGACATTTCTGTCCTCTCTGTTCTGGACCTAAAGCTGCTCTAGAAATTAAGTCTATTTGAAAGGGGGGCAAAAATCAACCCATGGAGGTGATATAGGGGAGGAAAGAATTGTTCCTATAGGCTTTGGGATGTGTGGTGTTGACTTTCTCTTCCATCACCTCATGATGTCTTCAGTAAATTCTGCATTTCACACCAGTGTTTTTGCAGGCACGGGTTCATGGTGCGGAAATGGAAGGTGGCAGGGGAAAAGAAAGAGATTTCTGCTTTCTGAGCCTGCATGGGGGTGGGGAGGGCGTATGAGCCAGGAATATGTAACAGCCCTGGATGATCCAAAAGCACACCCAGGGTGGCCACCAGGTTAAGCTGGTCTGGAACCCTCCATGCCTTGGCTCCTTGAGCCTCTACTGCGGGCTCATACATGAACCCTTTGCACTGTGTCCTGAAGCCCTCCCTCATTGCCCCTTTCGGTTACAGCCCTTTTGCTGTCTGCAAAGCCTTTGATGGACCCATTTGGCTATGATGCTTCCTTGTCACAGCAGCCATCACCCTTTCTGCACAGATGCCCAGAGCTATAATAACCAGGCAATTCTATGGGCTCCACATGCCCCAGGCCTACTAAGGCAGCAAGTCTGATGATCAGAGTCATGGATGCTGAGAAAGGAGAGCTGGGTGCTGGCCCCATGGCTCTGCCAGCCACATGACCCGAGGTGGACCAGGCAGCCAGCTGGTCTTAGCTTTTGCTTCTGCAAGAGAGTAGGTGGTTTGCCTCCACCCATAGCCTCAAGCATGAGGCTTTCCAAGGTCACAGCTACTCCAGAAACTGGAAAATGGCATTCTCACGGATGGGGGTAATTCATCAATACTGGTTACTCTATAATCATTCCTGTGCTTCCAAAGGCTCAAGGCAAGATAGTAAGCAAGTTATACAACAGCTCTTCAAGGTGAAGGAGAACAGAGCAGCAAACTATACAAACCCAACATCCGGGACAGGCAAACAGGGTCCCTACCCCAGCCCCCACTGGCAGAGTCCCAGGCTTCTGGAAACCAAGAGGGCTACAGGGCTCATTCCAATTTCCGAGAAAAACACTAAGGAAACCTACCAAGTAAACTCTAAGCAATAACAAAGGCAGCACAAAAAAGCCCTTATAAGTTTCTCTTCCAAAAGCTTCTCCAGCAAAATAGGCCGTTTCTTTGTGATGGGGAGTGGAGGGGGTTGGATTCTCAGTAACACAGAGATAAAATCTCTTAGACTGGTCCCCCCACCCCTCCCAGGAGATTCCTGGAATGCTGGTGGAATGTGGGCAGGGCAGTGGTGGCGCCTGCCTGCGAGGAAAGACATTAGGGAGCCCTTGGGTGGGGGGGGGGGGGGGGGGGGCGGGGGGGAGGTTCAGACTCTCCCACGGAAAAAATCCTGGCCTGCCAGCCAGGGCCAGCACTTGACTGGAAGCAGTGCCTCACCTCATTCCAGTTGGGCTCAGCTGTGTCTCTGTAAACGCGAGTCTTGGCTTTATTCACAAAATAACCGAAGGAATCTACCTCCAGGGTGCAGTACAGATCTGTGGGAGGGCAACACAGGGAAGGTGACGATACTTTTCCACGTTACCCAAATTCTCTATAACACAGGGGCTATTTTTGTAGGGGGCCAGGGGCAGGCTGCCCCAAGATGGGCGGGCCACTGTGACTAGAAGATTATTCTGAGCTGAGAGCAATCAAGACCCTCAAGAGAAATGGGTTCAAGAGAAGTTCTGCCCTTCCTGTAAATTTGATCTGAGTGACCACTGGTGAGGCAGGGTAAGCATCCACTTGCTAAATATCTGCTCTTCCTATTGCCCTGTGAATTGCATTCCTTTCCTCTGAAGCCCCAGACCCCGGCCCCCTCCCCTAGGTTCAGGATGACACATATGCCTCATTTTGCCTGCCTTTGTAACTTCCATGTCTGTGTGGATTCCCAGCATGTATGCTTTAAATTTAATTTTTTCCTGTTGGTCTCATGTCAATTTGATTATTAGTCCAGCTTGAAAGGATCTCTGAAGAGGACAGGAATTCTTGCTCCTTGACATTTTTAAAATCAGGGGGGGAAGAAAAGGTCTTAAGTTTCTTTTAAAAATAAAACAACCTTGAAACCAATAACCAATATTGCACTGCATGTGAACTAACTAGAATTTAAATACAAATTTGGAAAAAATAAAGCAAAACACCAGTGGCCGCCACGGGCCCCAGCACCTCCTGCGCAGATTCTCCCCCGTGGTACAGCTGAACCAGCACCTGTCAGAAGGTGCACTCACTTGGTCATCTGACAAACCCTGGGTAAAGCCTCTATGTGAGCAGAAACCTATGGCTGGTGACCTGGGCAGAGGTGAATATGCCATCACCACCAGGAGGATGATGCACAGAGAAGGGTGGGGCCAGGGGAAATGCCTACCACCTGCGCAGGCCCTGCTGTAAGTTTACTAGGTCAACTGGGGTAAAGAGTGCTTCAGGCCAGGGCAGGGCACTGAAAACAGCTCAGTGCTGGGAGAATTGTGGGGTGCAGGGGGAGCAGAGGTAGGGACCAGGAAGGAGGTCACTCCCAGGGCCTGGATGAAGGGTGAAGCAGGTGGCCAGAGGTGATGAGTAAAGTCCACCGACAGAGTATGTCATCTTACTGATATCAGCAGGGAACCAGATGGTGGTTTCTGGCCTAGCCACAGGGCAGAGGGTTGCACCTCTTACCGGGGCAGGACATAAAATAAGAGGAATAAGTTTGGGGGCCCAAATAATAGGTTAAGTTTGGGGATGTGAAGAATAGAGTGTGGGATACTGAGGACTCACACAGAAAGGTAATAGAGGGGGGCCAAGAGAGAAGACTGGGGATGGAGAGGCAGTTCTGGACATCAACTGCGCTGCTGATGGAAGGGTCCCTGGGCATGGGAAAGAGGGAGTATATGCAGTGAGGGAGCAAGGCCCAGATTGAACCCTTGAAAACACTTGCATTTATGTGAGGGGGGGCGGGGCAGGTGCTCCCAGGGGAACAATCACGCCTATATGATAACTTCACGGAGGTATAATCTGGATACTGTACAATGCATCTGCTACAGGTTAGAGGACTTTTAGTAAATCAGCATTGCCACTGTTTCAGAACACTGTCCTCCCCCCAAAAAGGCCCTCTGGGATCACGTGCAAACCTCTTCCCACCCCCAGTCCCAGGAAACCCCTGCTAGGCTTTCTGTCTCCAAGTTTTACCTTTTCTAGAAATTTCACACATGTGGAACGATACAACATATAATCTTTTGCATCTGGTGTCTTTGTTAGAAATAATTCTTTTTAGGTTCATCTCTATTGTTGCCTGTATCAGTATTCTGTTCCTTTTTATTGCAGAAGAGCGCTCTGTTGCATGGATGAAAGTATTTTATCAGGCACATCTAAGTCTTTATACAGACATGACCTTATCTCTCTGGAATAAATACTTCAAAGCGGGGCTGCTGGGTCACACGGTACGGGTATGTTTAACTTTTTAAGAAAGTGTGAACCTGTATTCCAGGGTGGCCAAACCATTTCACATCTTCACCAGTGGAGTGTCTGAGGGTTCCAGTTTCTCCACATCCCCACCAACATTCGTTACTGTGTACGTTTCTGGTCATCACCACCCTGGTGGGTGTGAAGCGGAACCTCATTGTGGTTTTATTATTTTTTTAATGTTATTTTTTAGAAGGCGCATGTGGGATAGGGGCAGAGAGAGGAAGACAGAGGATCCAAAGCGGGCTCTGTGCTGACAGCAGAGAGCCTGATGGTGGGCTGTGAGATCATGACCTGAGCCGAAGCTGGACGCTCAACCGACTGAGCCACCCAGGTGCCCCCTCACACGGTTTTAGTTTACATTTCCCTACAATCGCGAGCATCCTCCCATATGCTTATTAGCTACTTGTATTTCTTTGGTGAAGTGTCTACTCAAATCTTTTGCTCACTTTTAAAAACTGGTTGTCTCCTTAGCAGTGAGGTCTAAGAGTTCTCTAATATGTTCTGAATATAAGTCCCGTATCCCGTATCATACATATGTATGTATGTATGTATGTATGTATGTATGTATGTGTGTGTGTGTGTGTATGTTGTGGCTTGTTGCGGATTTCTTGTTTAGTTTTGTAGCGTCAGTGGGACAGGTCAGCAGCACAGTGCCTGCCCTCCGTCCTCTTGTGAGAGACAATGAGGGCTTGTGTGGAGGTGTCATGCTGAGAGATACAGCATGTGCTGCCCTGGACTGAAATGCATCCAACCCTCATTGCTCTGACAGCTTGAATAGCTGAGAGGAGCTCCCTGCCTTGGAGGGGAAGGATGACAAGGGTATACATTTAGCTGTCAGCAGGCAAATCTACTCTACTGGCTGGGGTCAAGGTACTGCTGCCCACAGCCCTCCTGGCCTGGATGGAACTCAGGCTGTATTTTCCCGCTATAACAAACTCCAGTGCCTGCAATTACAAGGACCTACCTGCAGGGGGCAACTCGCCAGCTCACCAGAGACCAAAGATGGGCAACAGTCCACTATGGGTGTCAACCAGCACAGGACCTCACTGAGTTAAGGGTCAAAGGCACCTGATGATATTCTGAACCATGATCCTGGTTCCTCACAGCCTCTAGCTCAGTGCCCTGCTATCTTCTTCCTCAAACTAACCACTTACTTGAACTCTGCTTAAAGCCGCTGGCAGAGTGGACGATGACATTCAGGAACCCGTAGAGCCCTGGAGATTCATCATCTGTGCAAGAGACCAAAGAGGTGAGCATCCGTTCTCCTGAGAGAGGGAGGCAAATGACACGCTATGCTTCAAAATCAACCCTCAATGGGGAGCACCACATGATTGCCATTTGCTCAGTTTGGGGCCAAGTGATGTCATGAGCCAGAAACATAACCATTGTAGCCTCTGTCTCAGGTCTTAGGATCTGAGTTGGCTTCACAACACAAGCAGACCAGGGACTGGGGTGAAATGCAGTAAGGTTCCCAGGACAGGAGAGGAGAGGGGTGAGGTGTAGCATGTGACACAGATATCGTCATGTGAGGAGTTGTATGTGACATGTGTGCATGTGCACGAGCACATACCTATGAGTGGGAATGAGTGTACACGAGTGTGTGCATGAGTGAACACAAAATGCAGCATGAACAAAGGTGTGGGCGAGAAGTGCCTGGCTGGGAGGACAGGGGAGCAGGACCAGACCCAGAGCACAGAGGGCCTGAGATGTGTCGTGTGATCAGGCACAAAGTTATGGGGACAGACCACCCCTGACCTATCCCATCCACTCCCAGGAAGGGCCGACAAGCCCTACACAGCACATATTCCCTCAGGATAAAAACCCACGGTCCCACAGACAGTGCTGGCAGCAGAAAAGGACAGAGCCTTTGTGAGGACAGCCAACCTTCTTTGTTGATGGTCAGTGGAATGCTGTGGACGGTCTGAAGTTTGACACACGAATTGGTCAGCATCTGCAGCTCCACAGATGTTAGGGAGAAGCTTTTGAAACCTGAAAGAGTAGAACCCAGGTACATCAGCTAGCCAGTCTGCACAGCTCCTCAGACTCCAGGGACACCCAGAGGGCCTTCTCCAATGTCCCTGCACTGGGCCTTCACCACACTCTGGTGAGGAGCTGTGGTGGCCAGGAGGGGGCGATCTGCTTCCAAGAGAGGAGCTGGTAAGTGGCCAAGCAAGGATGGCATTGGCCCAGGCTGGGCTAGGAGGCATGGCGGCAGGGTGGGGGGTGGGCGGGGCGGGGTGGTGGTGGCAGTGATTAGCGTAACACTTAGAAACACAGGAGCTGGCCAGGCAACTGTGAGAGGATGCCCTGCAGAATCTTTCTGTGGGGTATCCCAACAAAGACACCCAAACAAACAGCCCTGCCTTGCACTCTGCTGAGGCCCCCACGCCCACCAGGTGAGGAAAGGGGGCTTATTTCTGTAATGGTGCTGAGCAGGGAATAGATGCTGACATGCTGTATGTAGTTGGGATCCCCTGGTTATAAAAGGAAACCCAAGACATGGGCATGGGCAGGGCAGCAGGCACTGGCCAGAGCCTACCAGGAGTGCCTTTTCCTCCAGGATGCAGGGGCGCTGTCGGGGGGAATGGCTCAGCATAGGAATGGATGATAAGTTTGAGCGATGGGAGCTCAGGACAGGGCTGAGGCATGTGGGGCTCCCAGCCCACCTGGGACAAGTTGTTCAGCCTGGCTCTCTCTGCAGGCACTCTCGGAACGGTGGGCACACAGAGTGCACATGGGAACCTCTCAGCAAAGATGGCTCAGGAATCCCAAACTATACAGCTCAGGGGCAGTGGAAGGAAACAGGACCTGTGGCAGAGTCTGCCTTCCCACCCCTAAAGACTGCCAGACAGAACCAGGGGCAGCTCTGAGCTCAGGAGAAGGAAAAAATAGCTAAGAGAGGGAAGCACCCAGGGAACGGACTGTCCCAGAGAGGAGTAAGCACCCTATCCTAAGAGTGGTCAAGTGGTGGCCCCTCAGATAGGGGAGTGGGGCCAGCAGTGTGGCTGTTCAGGCTGGTCCAGCCAGGGGCTACTTTGGCAACAGCACCTGCTGGGAGGTGGGGACGGCCTGGGGAGGAGGTGGGCAAGAGTGCAGGAGGAGCCACAGAAAGGAGGCAGGCATCAGAGTAGGGAGGTTCAGGAGGTAGGTAGGGCATCTGGGGAAGGCATGGGGGGCGGTGGTGGAAAGGGAGGGTTCACAGGGGAGGTCAGAAAGCGGGAGGGAGTGATGCACAGGGGATGCAGGGAAGGCCTTGGAAAGGGGACACAGAGGGTAGAGCCCTAGCAGGAGCTCCTAAACAATTTATTTTCTGAATCAGAGCTCCATGTAGCCTCTCACTTGGATAAGAGCGCCACTGCCCAGCTTCTCAGGAAGAAAGAAAAGGTCTGAAACCACAGAAGGAGATGAGCATCCAGCCCTGAGGTTCCAAGTCTCTCCATGCAGATGCCACTTACACTTCTTCTGCTGCTCCCGGATGTTCTCTCTCCACTCAGCACGCTCGTAGTCAGATGAGATAAGGAATGTGTAACTCTGGGGGGTGAGAAGAATACACCCCGGTTACCTCCACTGCAGCCCAGGCACCCACAGAGTCCTGCAGTGTACCCCTCCAAGGCACACACACCTTGGGGCCAGAGGCTGGCTGGAGCCTGGTGGCTGAGTGTGCTCACAGCTTGGCTCATGCTTCTGGCACTCTCCACCCTTCCTGCCAGCTGGGCTTCAGGCCACAGCTCCTGTGCCCTGGGCAGCTTTGCCTCTGGCAGCGGCCCCTTCCTGGACTGCTCCAGACAGGGCATGACATGTTGTAGCTTAGAGCCACAGAGAAGATCAGCAGGTGGGATCTGCAGAGGCCAATGTCACTTTGACTGACCACCTGCGTCCATCACACAAGCCCTGAGCTGTGACCAGAGACAAGGCTCTCACAGAACCCATCAGGTGCCTCTCCCAGCTGCACTCTAACAAGCTATGTATGATGCCCACAGCCCCAGAGGGAGAGGCCTGGGCTCCAGATGGCACCAGGAGCCAGACTCAGGAGAGAAGGTACTTCTCAGGCTGACGAGGTCTCTGGACAGAATCCTTGTACGGAGAGACAGGTATGCACAAATCTGTGAACCCCCTGCCCTATTCGGACTTCCTGGAGACCCTGTTACCTCTCAGCTGTAGGGGCTGAGCCAGCTGTCGGTCAATCTGGGGCTCCAACCCAAGGCACCAGTCAGAGGGACACATGGGTCTGGGTGTTCCATACTGAACAAGCCTCTCTTGGCATGGGAACATGGCTGCTGTTGAAAAGGCCACATAGGAGCCAGCAACCGAAGCTGCCACACGGCTAGGCAGTGAATCTTGGCCACAGAACAGTGAGATTCCAGACAGACGGGAGCCAGGGGCCAGGAGGGTGTGCCTGGGCTAGCAGGGGGAGGCCCTGGCTGGCTGAGTGGGGGTGGGGACACTCACCTTGCCATTGCGGTTGTGCACCCTGAAGGCCATGCTGGGGGACATAAGCAGGAGCAGTGACTCTTGCTCTGAGAGCTTCTTCTTCAGCCTCTCTATGGCCTTGCTGCCCTTGTTTGCTCTCTGTGGGGAGAGGGCACACAATCACATATCCATTTTGGGGGCCCTGTGTTACCTGTTCCCACCCGGCCCAGTCACACGGCCCCCAGCGCCTCCCTCTGCCTGCTCGGTTTGTGGTGTAGTAGGCCAGCAGGTGGGTGAGAGTTGAGGAGACCCCTGTCCTGCTGAGCCCACCTCAGCTGGGCATTCCTGAGCTGAAGCCCAACCTTCTGGGGACCTACTTTGTCTGTGGCCACCACACGGTGCTTGCTCTGGCCGGGCTCAACCCTACTCTTGAATGCTCCATCTTCACTGTTCCTCAAGTCTTGAAACCTCTCCAGAAACATTAGGGGCCGACCTGGAGTGATCCAGAACACCCAGAGGGGCGGTTCTCCCACCTGGGACTCTCTCCCTATTAGGGCAGCCACACACCTCTCCCACCCCACGTGCTGGATGGCTCCAAGCTGGATGGCGGGCTCACAGGGATCCCCGAAGGCTTCAGATTTGGAGAGTTGGTCAAACACTTGTGCAGCACTCAAGCTGCAGAGCCCAGCTTTGTTCCTTCCCAGCTGGCCTCACCTTCTCTCTCTGGATATCGTTCTTGATCTGGGATATCTTGATCTTCATGGCATCCAACTCCTCGTCCAGCACCAGGGGGATGTTGGGAGCTGCCTCCGACTCATCCACTGTCTGGAAGCTGAGATCCGTAAGCGGGATGTACCATTTGCAGTCATACTGCTGGGTTTTGCTGAGTGAGGAAACTGAACATTAACACATTGCTTTCCTTCACTAATGTTGCTGTTTTCAAGAGCCAGGAAACCCCAAGTTTGGGGCTTGTGCAGTTTACATGAACTTAAAATCTAGGCTGCGGTCCATGCAGCAAGCTGGCATAAGGCCATAGGCAGACACTGGTGACCCAGCCAGGGTGACCCCTGAGAACGGGTAATCTGCATGTGTGACTTAGGCCTGGTCTACCTTATCCTGGGCTGATAGTGGCAGCTTAGTGCTCCCTGACATGGAAGCACAACGGGGCATCCACTGACAGGACAGGACTGCATATACCCCCAGAGCTGTAGAGTTTGAGGGGCTACCGATCCACCAGGAGTAAATCTCTCCCTTGACGGAAAGAGAAACTGAGAATCTCTTTGAAGGTGACTGATTTAAATCTGCTCAGAATGAGGGAGAGTCTAGCTCTGATCTTTCCCAATGTGACCTTCTTTCCTCCGTTCCAGCTGGTGCAACCTGGGTGGTCTGAATCCTGGGAAGAAGGGTGTGTGTGTGGTGGGGGAGCATCTGTAGCCTAGGCTGAAAACAATTTAGAAGCTCTCACCAGGTCTGGAGAGACAAAGTACAGCGATGGCCTAGTGGTACCAGCCCCGCCCCACTAGTCTGCACTAGACCCTGCAGCTCCCTGTCCTGTCACTTTCTCTTTCTGGGTCATGACATGACGGTTACCCAATAGTACTTTGTCAGGTAGGTCCTCCTTTTGTGGCTTTTAATGTTTATTTTTGAGAGAGAGAATGAGACAGAGCACGGGCGGGGGAGAGGCAGAGAGAGAGGGAGACACAGAATCTGAAGCAGGCTCTAGGCTCTGAGCTGTCAGCACAGAGCCTGATGTGGGGCTTGACCTCACAAACCCTGAGATCATGACCTGAGCCAAAGTTGGACACTTAACCAACTGAGCCACCCAGGCACACCAATCTCCTTTTTTCTATAGGAGGCAACAAGCCATTCCAGGTTGTTAATGATGACCTTTAACCCTGAGCCTGGCATCATGGCCAGTTGGAAACAATGTAACTTAAAGAGTATACCTTGGCCACATAGTTACTCAACTCTTTAGGCTCATGTCACAAGAAAAAAACAAAAGCTAGGTTTCTTCCATCTGTGAAACCTGCCCTCTCCCCCAAGCTCCAAGACCCTTCCCACCCGGCAGGATGGGCGCCATGTGGTCACTCACCCTCCACTCTGCTTCTTGAGCTTGGTGCAGAGGAGCAGGTCGGTGAACAGGAAGACATGGCGCAGCTTGCGGGCCCCCTCCACCAGCTCCACCATAAAGCTGTCCTTCAGCAGCTGCCGGTGCTATGGGGGGGCGGGGGGGCGGGGGCGGTGAGGACTGGAGTTAGGGCAGTGGGCCAGCAGGGGGGCAGGCCTTCACACCCGCAGCCTCTTACTTTCACACCCACTCTCCAGTGCTCCCTCTGTCTCAGCAAACACACACACTATGCTTTCCTCTTTGTTCAGTAAAGTTTCTTGAATGTGCTTGGCCTGCGGAGGAGGGTGAGTGGATAGAGTACTAGCCGTTGGCTTGGAGGCTGGGAAGGGGGAACGCTACAGCTATGTCAAAGGCCTGCAGGGAAAACGATGGCAGGAAAAACCCCTGTGGGCAGGGCAGTCCATGCCTCTCCGGGACAGCAATTGGAGACCCAGAACGAGCAAGAGGCCAGCCATGCGAAGGGTATTCTTGGAGAGAGACCATCATAGCGCAGGTCCATGACTAGAAGCTTGGTGCTCAAGGCATGGATGGGGCAGCCTGGTGAGTGGGGAGGAGGTGGGCCCAGAACACTTCAAGGGGGCAGCCCTGACGGTCATGGTTGAGGCTGGGCTTAGTTTTTGTTTTTTGTTTTTTTTAAGTTTATTTATTTATTTTGAGAGAGAGACAGAAGGTGCGAGTTGGGGAGGTGCAGGGAGAGGAAAGAGCAAGAAACCCAGACTCAGTGCTGCCAGTGTGGAGCCTGATGTGGGGCTCAAACTCATAAACCATGAAATCATGACACTTAACTGACAGAGCCACCCAGGTATCCCTGGGCTTAATTCAAGGGCAGCAGAAAGTGAGTAGGGGGACCACAGATGGGACTCCATGCTCTAGTCTTCCTAAGGTCAGTGCCCACGGACAGGCAGAAGCCCACATAGGATGCCTGGATATCTGGCAGCCTGAATCTGAAGTGACCTTCCCAGCGCCTACTGGACCTAGACTGAGCAAGGGATGGGAGGCACTAGCCTGCCACCAAGCTACACGCCTCTGCACCCGGGTGCTTCATCTGAAAGGTCAGAACACTCCCACTGGCTCACACAGCTCCAGGGGTGGCTGAATGCCATGAATGGCACACCAAGGTAAGTTGGTAATTCATCTGAAAAACAGTGCCCAGAACCTCATGTGGGTCAATGCTGTGCCGTGCAAAGGACACAAAGACAGGAGAGGCTGACACGGTGAGCCTTTCCTTTCCCCATACACATTCCAGGTATGCTGTGCAAGCACATGGCCTGACCATCGGATGTGATCCCCACAACACTCTCTGGGCAGATCCTTCAGGCCTATTTCACACGTGAGAAATGGGAGCCTCAGACAGGTTGACCACCATCCCAGGCAGCACAGTGAGTGAGCAAGCAGCAATCTTCAGTGGTCTCACAAGCCCAGAGAGACCAGGTTCTTACAGGCAACCCAGACAGCTTGGCTTCAGGGAAGGCCCCCCAGAGAGGGTGACTCCCAGTCTTCACTGTCCTCACTGTGATGGCCGGGGAAGGGTCTGGAGGACCAAGTACATACACAAGACTGGGAAAAGGCCCATAGGATCTCCCTAGCAAGAGGCATCTCCAACACCCCATGCGTTCGGCAGGCCCACACACCTGGCTCTGCTGTCACCTGCAGCCTCAGAGTCATCTCAGGGAGCCTATAACTTCCTGAACTCTCCCAGACTCTCCGTGAGAGCTGGAGCCAGCAGGACTGCCCAGAAGCAAGTATAGCCTGGGCTGGGCCCCAACACTCCCAGGTGCATAGGCCATACATCACTGTCGCATTCAGCTTGGCTCACAATGGCCAGCTGGGCCCTGGCGACAGAAAGCAAGTTATTTAAAGGGGAGACTATAAGTGGAAGGGCTGGAAAGCTGCTGTGTGTCAAGGCCATGACTCATCGTCACTCACCCTGTGCCCACCTGCCATGGGCAGAGAGCTCACCTGATGGTGACACCCACAGGAAGCAAGAAAGTGTGTGCATCTGGAGAAATGTCCACACAGGGGCGCCTGGGTGGCTTAGTCGGTTAAACGTTCGACTTTCGCTTAGGTCATGATCTCACGGTTTGTGGGTTCGAGCCCCGCGTCGGGCTCTGTGCTGACTGCCAGCTCAGAGCCTGGAGCCTGTTTCAGAGTCTGTGACTCCCTCTCTCTCTGACCCTCCCCTGCTCACGCTGTCTCTCTCTCCTCTCTCTCCTAGAAATAAATAAAACATTAAAAAAAAAAAAAAGAAAAAAAAAAAGAAATGTCCACACAGAGCTGGAGACCTGGGGCAAACCTGACTGCTGGGTCCTAATCAGAGAGCAGGTCTGAGATGTGTCCTGGGACCCTGAAGTCCCAGAGGAATAAGCAGACAGATGCCCCCCACAGCCAGGACAGGGCAGAGGGTCTTTCTAGCCCAGGAGGCAGGGACCAAGGGAACTTCAGTGAGGAAACACGGATCCTTTCTCCGTACAAAGGGGCTGAGCTTCTGGCCACCACCAGCAGAGGGCCCCCTACGTCCAGCTCAGAAGTAGACTCCTCCCCTCTGTCAACAGGTCCCGAAATGCCCAGAATCCTGGCAGTGACCTCCCTCTACCTACCAGCTGACCCACCCTCTCTCCCTGCAAAGTCCTGTTGCTCACACATTCGGCTGAAGTGTCACATTCATCCTCCACAAGACCCCTGTGGGTCACCCTGGTGCTTGTGGCAGCCCACACAGCTTGCCTTGCTGTGTTGAGAGGACATACAGCTGACTGTGGGGAGCACGCAGCCGCCCCACAGACTCAGACTGCATCCCTGGGAGGCTCTGATGGGCTGACCCTGTTTTGATACTGTGACAGTCAAACTCTTGCCTGTACAAACCCTCATCTTTCTATGAGAAGCCCCAAAGCCAAGGGTGCCCTGACACCTTATGGGAGGTGTGGCAGCCCACTACCCCCGAAGCATCCAAGTCCAAGCCCTGCTCTGTGCCAGTGTCTCCAAGGGCTGTCCTGAGCATGTGACTCGTGCGTGTCACCTGCCAGACTCTTGCAGTGCGGGTGGTGGACAGCAGTGGCTATCTTCAGCGTAAGGCTCATTCACTGTGAGTTTTCCCAGTAATGTCACAGTTGCCCTTCCTCCCGAAGACGCACAGGGCCTTGCTTCTGAACCCCAGCCCACCCTGAGGTGTTGCGGCATGCCTGAATGGAAAACACCCAGCAAATGGGCAGGAGGGGACTCCCAGCCCCAAGAAAACAGGCCCCCAACTACAATTCTGACAGATCCACAAAAGGAGCCTGGATCCTGGAAGAGAGGCCACAATCAGGGAACAGGAGGGCAGCAGGTGATGGAGTGTGAGGGAGTGGGGGCTGGGCATCATACTGTCTCTATCCATATTTCCCCAGGCCCAGGGGTGGACCTGAGGCACAGACTCTTAAAGTTGGTGTCCCATCCTGATGCACAGTCTACGGCCCTGACCTGTGGGTAGACACTACCTTTTTGATTATGGAGGTCAGTCAGCCCGGGCCTGGGATCAGCCTGGCTCCAAGCCAGACGCTGAGGAAGGATCCTGCTGCTGAAACAAGCCCGTGAAGAAACAGCAACAAACCCCCATCTGCACCCACACCATTTCAGGAAAGAGAGATAGATGATCATGGAGGAGGACAGAAACAAAAGGAAGGATGGGGAAGCTTTGTGTGTCCCCATGTATAGGTCTGTGTGTGTCCCCTGTGTGTGTATACCCCTGTCTGTGACCACATGTGTGGGTCATATTCCTTTGTTCCTATTATGTCTTTCTGTATGTTTTCATGCCTCTGTGTCCCAACCTATGTGACCATGTGTATGTGTCCCCATATCTGTGTGTGTGTGTGTGTGTGTGTGTGTGTGTGTGTTCCTGTGGATATCACAGTGTGTGTCCCCTGTGTGCATGTCTTCGTGTGTACTCTGGGGCACAGCAGTGGTGGTAGGAAGGAAGGCGCTCCCCTTGGAAAGTCCTTCTATCCCCATATATCAGGTGGGGAACACCTGCTCGAAAGCACACCACTGCCTCCCTGAAAAACTAAGATCACCCCACCAGGGAGTGAAGTGTCTGGAGCCACTGTGTACCTTCACTGCCTGTGGCCCACCTTTCTCTCTCCTCTCTGCAGAGGGATAACACTACCACTTCAGTTCTCTGGGCCTCAGTTTCCTTAAACGTAAGGAGGGATGCAAATACCTGCCTGGGGGCATTTTTTAGAGGATTAAATGTGCTCCACAGGTGGCTATTGGTTACCGTAAGCCAAGACCTCTGTGGGTACAGGCCTTGTGCTGAGATGCCCTGTTGTTGGGCCTCCCACACTTCATGATGACCGAGCGGAGAAGGTACCATCACCCCCATTTCTACAGACAAGGAAACTGAGGCCAGTGAGGTTACATCCTGTGTCTGCGGTTTTCTGACAAGGGGCACCTCTTTCCCCAGGGGTCTTCCACTAGGCTGGCCAGCTTCCTCCGGCTGTCATCTGGGCAACATTGGCCACCACCCCCAGACAGAGCCCATCCAGGGATGACCCATCTGGAAGAAGTGTGTTGTTACAGACTGATGTTTGTGTCTACCCCAAAATTCTGATGCTCTAACCCCTAATGTGACGGTATCTGGAGTAAGGGCCTTTGGAGGTGATTAGGTTTAGGTGAGCCTATGAAGATGGGAGCCCATAATGGCACTGGTATCCTTATAAGAAAAGCAAGACAGAGATCTCTCCATGTGCATGCTGTGAAGAAAAGCCATACGGGTACACAATGAGAAGGGAGCTGTCTCCAAGACAGGAAATAGGCTCTTACCAGACCCTAAGCATCCTGACACCTTGACCTTGGGACTCCTAGCCTCTAGCACTGTGAGAAATGAATGCCTGTCATTTAAGCCCCTAGTTGATGGCATTTTGTTATAGCAGCTGAGCAGACTCAGACACATAAAGAAGCCAGAGCCCAAGATTCCATGGAGGGGGTACTGGGAAGTTTTCCTCAGGTACAGGAAACTGGAGTTTAGTGATAAGCCAGTGGGGCCTTGCCAGGTGAGACCAAGAAGGGTTGCCAAGGAGGGCACAGGTGGGGGCGAGGAGGAGAAGGAAGATGGCCA